TTTCTGCAGTTTGTGGGCATACTGACAGAAGGCAGAGGAGCTTGATTTTTTTTCACAGATTATCTGTCTTATACTGTCATAACATAATGATAATTTTAACCAATATGTAAAAAACATATTTTTTACAAAAGTCACATACAGCAGCTTTAAGATGTGCTTTAAAATAAGTAGGCATTGCCAAGAAAGTAAGTACAAAATGCTGAGATTGTCAACAGCTGACTTGTATTTCAAGTCATGTCAGAATTAACTATAATGCATATTTTAAAAAAAGAGTAAAAATAAAAAACAAAGGAAAAAAAAAAAGGTCAAGTCTCCTCTGTGTTCCAAGCTGACCCTCGGAACAACAAGGTTCACCAGACATCTGTGATTATTGTGGGAAAATGTAGAGTTGTCCCTTTGCATATTACTGTGAATTTGTCTCTGACCACATCTGGTCCTAATGTTGCCAGGATGCTGTATTTATCCCCCTAATGCAGGTTAATGCATATTCCACAAATGCAAAGGATTGAATTGGAAACACTTTGCAACCATCATGCATTCAAAATTATACTCAATTATGCTTAATTTTGCTAATCTGCATAATAAATACCGATATTTATAAAGGAGGACAGAGCAGTGGAACAAAAATGTCCAAGCTGTAAACATGGTAGTTTTCCACAATATAGATAGCAATGAGGAGAGTCAAAGCCAGAATAGTGCAGAAGCTGTCAGACATGTCAAATTCTAAATTTTAAAACACATACGTAACTCAAACAAACCCGACCTGAAGTGTGTGTAGAAGAGACTGCAGAATCACTCCTGTAACAGAACAACATTCTCTTTATCTTCACCCTCCCCTCTTAAGCATCCATCATTCATTACAGCAAATTCATCAGTGTTTCATTAGCAATGCTTTTTCACAAACATATGAAAAATGGAGCGGGATTAATTTCCGTCATTTCCCCTACTAAATGACACGGGCAAATTACCATAGCAGCAGTAAACATAACAAAGACTCAAATCCACTCGCAGCCAGAAACAGACTCTCTAGGAACACACAGTAGGTGTATTGTAGAACTCTGATGATCACATTTCACAGTCCAATTTTTCACTTTTAGACGGGTAACTTTTAGGAAAACAATAATGCCTCAGTGGCGATCATCCCCTTCTTTCCGAGGTGTTCGTTAACCACTGGTTTGCCTGCTCTAACGGTTTAATTTCTTTTGGACAACAAAAACATGTGTGTAACGCTAAAATCTGTTTCACAAACTTTCTGATTTGAGACACTCAAATCTCTCCTCCTAATTTTTCCCTAACTGAAAACCTCAAGAATGCCAAAACTGAGTCATTTGGGAAGGTGGAGCGCTGTGACCTTGAGTAAACAATCATACTGCACTAGACACGATTCCAGTCTGACAGAATCCAGGCAGGTGGATTCAATGAGGGACGCAGAGAAACGGTGATGTAACGATAAAGCCCTGAGAAAGTGGAGAAAAAAAAAAGAAAACACAGGAAGAAAAGCTGCTCATGAAGGTCAAAAAATGAATCATAATCATATTATTAAAAAGTGCGTTTTCAGTCGTGTATCTGTTTTGTACGAGCAAACAGTTTCAAACAAAACACGCTTATGGATCCAGTCATGCAGACTTATACACACAGATCACCCACGCATGCACAAACCCATTCACATAAACACATGCGCATGCGCCGCATGTAGTATTGCCCTGCTGCTATGCTGGATTCATCCAAATATGGTTGAGGATATTTCCATGGCAACAGCAGACAGAAGGGGTGCAGACTTATGTGGGATGATCTCCAGAGAGAGTCTGCTTGACTTCTGATTCAAACTACTGTTGTGTTCGATTCATTCACCAACGCAGCCGTTCTTTCAGCAGAGTTCCTAAATGCAAAAAAATTGGCCTTGGTTATATTCTGGCTGCCATGGCAATTCACCTACACAGCGAAAACTGCAGGGCATGCTGCAAAACCTGTGAGATTTTTAAGTCATTCTCTAATCATTTTTGACAAACCAATGAGGAGATTTTTCCCCCTTTTTTGTTAATGCTAATATTATATACAGTATAGATTGCATCAGGAGGACATGCGATGCAGAGCTGCTGCAAATCATTAAAAAAAAAAAAAACAGATCATAAATTGCAGAAATGGAGATGACACACACCAACAGGTCAGGGGGTGCAGGCTGGGCTTGGAAGCAACACATAAATCACACTGTAATAACAGTCCAGACCATAAAAGAAAAGAATATCCCTATTATGTCACTACATAAGTCACAGATATTATAACAAACTGCAAACCAGTTAAAAGATATGGGTGCAAGAGACGCGTAAAGTGATCTGTGTCTGCCATTAGTAAGACCTCACTGTCCAGTGAGTGGAGAGCATTTTACAGAAAGGAAAATAGCAGATCGTTTCTTAACTTGACGTGATCGAATGCCGGTTTGTGATCTCAAACGCCATGCATGTTAATGTGTGTGAAGACCAGGCTGTGAGTCATGTATGCCAACAGTCGTATATCTCAACCCAGCCACTCATTAATGAGGATGCAGCCCTGTGGCACCACAAGGAATTATAGGACTGAAACAATCAATAGACTGGAGCAAATAGGTGTGCCTGTGCGTCTGCATGTAAGTCTGCAGACGCACAGCATGGAAGTTAGCTAGGTACTTTAATTCAGTGTTTATCATTTACTTAGCCAACTGTATGGGAGAAATAAATCCATGATGTTATAATTTAACACTGTGGCACTGACACTTTCACTGAATCGAGCAAAAATATAGAAGTTAAACGTTACTTTGGCATTTAAAGCCATAAGTAAAAGGTGAACACTAAATCTGTATCAATTTTAATGCTGAATTGAACTGAGGATTTTTCTTTTTTTTTTATATATAATATCACAAATACTAAACAACACACTTCCTCCTCCATTACTGCATTATTAGGTTCAATATTAAAGCCAAAATTTCAGGAAAACTTAGAACGCAATAAAAAATCCAGATATGTAGAATTAAATATCTTTTGTTCATAATAGTAGAAAAAGAGACAGGCCACAGAACTGACGGGCCAGACAAGTTTAAGATGTTTTAAACCCTTACAAAAAAAACACGTCATCAGGTATTTTCAAACCATCTGTCCAAGGAAATGGAATAATCTGCATCATCATCTGTATGCTCTTTTGGTAACGTAATTATCCAATGCCAAATGAACGTCTGCTCAAATGGCTTAATCAGAACTTCACTCTGCAGACCCCCGATAAGTGGGGTACCCACCCATGACCGGGTCTAATTTGTAAGTGCAGTCCGTTTATGATATAGATGCTAATGGAGCCTAATATTCAATTAACTGGACTGGATCAAATCTGACTGGCCAGACACAGAGGAGTAACAGACATGAAGTGATGCTTTATTTGAGATTGTTGTAGCCTTAAATTACTGATATTGCAGCAAAAGACCTTTTAAAAGATTTAATAAAAAATGTAATTGGCTGCTTTTCTGCACAGAATCCTTATTCTATAAAGTAAATCATTTTGCAAGTGAAGTCTTAGGAAGCAACTCTATATGAGTGCCTTGGAAGATCATTCGATCATTTTTCTAATTGCATTTTTTTTAAAATACAGTCAACTTAAAAGCTTTTGTTTATCAAAGTTGCACATAAAGCTCTTCTTTAACTTTATGAGAACAGAATACACATCTCTATATTAGAGTCTCTCTCTTTCCCAGTTTGGTTTCACCTCCTAGACAGACAACAGATTCATTGCGGTCAATGTTTTTACCTCAGTTGCCAGAGAAAGACGATGATGAGGATGCTGGAGATGAGGAGAGTGATGAGTGTGGGATGAGTGAGATGATAATGAGCATCATGCTGGCGATGACAACACAAATGATGCGGGCTACGATGATTGAAACACACAGCTCTGATCTCTGGGGGAGAAGTAGAATTGAAAAGAATTAGGTTTTTGGTGCTTTAATGCAAATCACAGAATACCGTTCCCATTCTATCATAGACCTGTTTTGCTGACTACAAATTGGGTAACAAAAGGTGTTGAAATAATTATTCATCCTATGTTAATTAACAGTTGGCATGACAACCAAAGCTGAGGCTGCTATAGCGGAGCTTTCAGAAATACAAATGCACAGATTAACATGTAATGAATGTCCTTTTTCAATGTTTCTTTTACTGGGAAATGAACCGGGGGAACATTTCTGAGTGACACAAAAGCATTATGTCCGATTAATTTGCAAAATCAAAAAGAATGTATATTTGGCATATGAGGGCACACTCATGAAACTACGTGCCTATGTTCCACAAACAATCCTTTACACATCTGTCAAATTCTCATACTAAAAGAAAAAAGAAGATCATTGAGCAAATTGCTTCTCAAAACAGAGATGAAAAAAATGCAATTTTAGTCTTGCACTGCCGTCTGATTCAAAGAAAGGATGTCAACAGGCGTGAGTTTATTGAAAACTGAATCTGTATTTGTTGACATATCTTGTTGCTGTGGAGAAAAAGTGATACTGCACAATCTAAAACATCTTCAGGGAGCGAGTCGAGGTGGATATAAAACAGATTAAACTAATCGTGTTACTTTACTGTGATTTACACCTACTGAGTTTTTAAGAAGATGAATGACATCGTTTTTATTAAAGGACTGGGCTGGGATTCAGAATCTCCAAATGCCCATTCTTTGCAAGTGAGATTGCCTGATAGACATGTATTCATTAGTTTAATGCAACTTTCATTGTAAATCTGATGCAGAAGTAAGGAATATAGTGAATGCAAAATATGAAGCAAATTGCATTGCTTTTGTGAATTCCTCCCAAATTATTTTTGGCCGGTTTTCTTATCTCTGTAATGCTTTTTTTTTTTTTGCCTGGGTTTTATATGTTTCATTTTCAGAGGACTCAGTGTGGGTTGAGAAGGCGAGCCTGTTTTTCCTAGGGGACCTACAGGGAATAAAATATCAATCAGCACAACAGAAAGTCGCTTTAAAGTCAAACTGACCTGCCGACGAGGAGAAACTCTCCCACCACTTTCTTGCGTTTCATCGCCATGAGAATGTTGCGAACGGTCATGCCTTCACAAAAACACGCCACTACTCTGGCCTTGGGCAGGTGTGCCTTCAGTCTCAACAGCAGACGATCAAAGCTCTGTTCTCCAGCGTTGCTCCAGATTTTACCTAGAGCAAAAATCGTGAGAGAGCAATAAGTCTCTGACCCTTATGATGTGCTTGTTTTTTATCCCCTCACCTAAAAAGAAGATCCTGGGAATTTGAAATGTCTTTCCTTCACAAATAAAAAGTGGAAATATTTAGTGAAAAAGGGTTTTTTTTTTTTTTTTTTTTACTAAATAAAACAAAAAGCTTCCTTTTTTACTGGATGTCTGCCGTGGGTGTTAGGAAGTAATGTGCTAGCTTATTAGTGTTGACAATATTAGCCATAAGAGGTAGCAAATAGACCAAAACAATAACTGACAGAAGTGCTCTTTCACATGCATAAACAGCACTTAGTGGGAATTCAATCTCTTGTAGATGTATTCTCCTTCATTATCTTTGTGTCTGAACAAACACTAAATTAAGATAACATTAAAATTAATCCCAATTCAAACATTAAGTCAATATATTTCATGATAAATTCTGTCTAGTTACGTATTTTGACCTCTGCCATCTTTACCTGAGTGGGCTATACAGATGCCCTCCTTGGCCGCCATGTCTTTGAATGCCTCCATGCCACTCTCACCATAGTTTCCTGGACAAATAAGAAAACGACAGCCAAAAAAGGTTTTAGTGCCGGGATAAAATTACTTTCACAACAGCAGAGAAAAAAAAAATCCAACTATTCAGATGAATTCAGGTGTCTTGCAAGAGTATTCATAGTTCATCGGTAGAACTTTTCAACATTTTCATGATACAATGAAAACACTTTTTTTTATTCTATACGATAAGCCAAAACAACGGGTCATAATTCGGAAGAAAAAGAAAAAAGATGCCTGCTTTTTCAAATTCTTTTAAAATAAAAGTATAATGAGTGTGGTGTGAATGTGCGTTGCGCTATCTTGAGTAAACATTGCTTGTAGAACCAACTTTAGTTGTAATTTAAAGCTTTCCGGATCCAGAGGTAAATCTTTTTTCTCAAGATCTTTTTTGCAGAACAGCTCAAGGGCAGTCAGATTGGATGAAAAGCAATTTTGAACCTCCATTGCCAAATCTTACCAAATATTCCTTCTTAGATTTTGATTTGACTTTTGACTGGGTCCTTCTAATATGCTTTGATCTAAATGATATCATTGTTTCTCTGTCTGGATGTTTATGGTTATTGTTTTGAGAGAAACGAGGTAAAAACCTACACTACACTTTGCTTCGTACAGAGGCAAAGTGCTTCGACCCTCGCAGTGCCGAGCCGAACGACGTCTTTGCCAGCAGTAAAATGTCCCAAACATTCCTCTTGCTCTGACTTTTATTCCTCAATATTTGGAAGCGTGGCCAACACAGACTGAACAGCTTCATTCACTTCTTCTGCTGCTGTTGGTAACAACAACCATAGGCAGACTGCAGTTCTAAAACATCACATAAAATCCACATCATCGTTCACAACTCCTTAAATTAGCTGAATGGCCCAGATGAAATATATCCTGAGAAATCCATCTTACTGGGAGAATCCCCAGAAGAGCGCTGACGGGACAGAAGAATCAAGCAATGCTGGAAAGCAAGGGCCAGGCTAAGGTGCGCCACACTCTTTCCATTTTAAGGTAATGTATTGAACAGTGCTCAGTGAGACATTTAAATGTTTTCACGTTTTTTGTATCCCATGGCTGCCTAAAAACATTTCCATATTTTCCTCCCAAATCTGTCTACTGTATTCCTTGGTCTTCATGAAGTTCTTTGTTCTCTAACAAAACTTCTGAGGCCTTCACTTTTTGTATTTATCCTGAGATTAAGCAACACACACCTGGACTCTGTGTTGCTAATTAGGTGACTTCTGAATCAAGCATCTTAAAAGGAGGTCATCAAGGGGTATGCAAGCCACATTTGTCTTATTGTATTTTCACAAATATGAGAAAGATACTTTGTGTTGTTCAACTACATAAAATACAATTTAAAAAAAAATATATATATATAAATTTGTGGTTTTAATTTGAAAAATGTGAGAACATTTAAGAGGTAGGAATACTTTTGCACACGTTGTGTGTACTGACAGCAGCAGCTTGGTTTCTTCTGGACCACCCTTAGCAGTTTGACTTCATGCCAGTGAAAGCATATCCCCATCGTGGCTCCCCTTTCTTTGCCAGGGAAAGTGGGTGACCTGAAATTTATGCTAATGAATGGTTGTGCACACTGGCAACGAATGTGATAGGATTCCCCTCTCTGGTTTCTAACTCTGACTCTCCCCCACTTGATTGAAGGAACTATCAAAGCTCTCCAGTCTATCTCTGTTTTTAAACCTCTAACATGTCCAAAACACCAACGACTTTCTAACTGAGCATTACTGATCTGTTTTCAACATAAATTTATATTTTAAAAAAAGGAGAAATATGAAATGATATAGATGAAAAAAGGAAGACCTGGATCATTATGTGGAAAAAAAGAGAACAGAGAGAAAAGACAAGGGAACCGTGGGAAATGAAACAGACAAAGGCTCCCGATCCCAAACCGCCGTACAGCTCACAGTGTGTGTAGTTAGACCAATGATGAGGCTGGTGGAGTGAAGTGTAAAGTCCTGTAATTAGTGTCTCAGTGAGAGGAGTGGGAGACAGATGGCAGAGACCATCCTTCCCATGTGTACTTTGAGACGTACACACACATTGTCGCTCACACATTCGCTGTGGCACAATTATCCCAATCTATAGAGCTTGTAACCTACTTCATTCTGGAGTCAGAATTTATGTGGAAGGCCATCTCTTTTCAGACTCTCTCCATTCTTCTGTTTCTGTCCTCCACATACATACGCCTGGGTACTATTAAATACTGCTAGCACACCTCCCACAAATACATTCGACACACACGCATATCCATTCATCAATATGAAACAGGTCAGAACCACAAAAAAGACAGCGTAGGCCAGGCAGTCCCATGACTACTGCATCGAAAATTTCTTCCATTTGTGGGATTATTTCTACAAAACCCACATTTTTTTATCATGTGGATGTCCAAATTGGATCCCACGTGTTGCATCCAGGTCCCAGTAAGGGCATTATCATAACCGTTTCACATGGTAAGCTCTTTTTCCCAACATTTATTGTTTGTCTGCTTACTGTTTGTGATGCAGTAACTGGCACTTTTTAAAAGCCATAGCGTATTTTGTGTGAAAGGCTTGCAAAGCTGCATTTTAGGCCATGAATTAGCAAATGTGGGTTTTCACTAACAATTTAAGTCATTTGCAACATCGAAAGACGAACTGGTTTGGCTGCTGCAACTCCCTGTCTGTCATGCCATGGGACTTGCTCATGGACTGTGCTCAGATACCCCAGACAGCTCAGTGTGGGGCGAAGCTCAGCTGAGTCACTAGTCATTAGGTTTTAAGGGCCCAAAGCCCTAACTTTATGTAGAACAACAACTTTTTTCTGTTTTCTTCAGACTCAATTAACTTGCAAAGCCTCCGATATTTTACAAGCCAATATATCAGTGACTCACAAAAACAAACATGCAAGCCACATGAAAACATCAGGAGCAAGATGCAGGCTTACTGAAGATGGTAGCTGTGTGTATCAAGTCAGACGTACACTCACTTTCCACTTAATTAAGCACACTTGTTCAATCGTACGACGGTTTACACATTAAATCAGTCGGTCGCAATGCAGCAACCCAGTGCATTCAGTTATGCACAACATGACTTGCAGAGGCTGAAACTGAGCAACAAAACGGTGAAGAATGTGGATTTAGAGGACTGAAGTATTTTAGAAACTGATGGTTTTTCCACCATCACCCATTGAAGGGAAACTATCTTGTTAATGTGAAATGGGTTAGAGCAGACTGACTTTGGACAATAGAAAGGCAGCAGTAGCATATTATTATTATTATTATTATTATTATTACAAACAAAGGATGAACAGTCCTATCTGTTAATGCAAAACATGTTCTGGAGACCATATCAGGCGTCACTATTGTTATTAATATCATAGATATGGAAATAAAAGAGTTCCATAGAAATTGGCCTAACATTCAAATTTCAGTAAGCAGTTAAGGTTCCACATTAAAACATTTTACTGTTGCATAATGGATTAATTAAACTGAATTTATTATTATTAATCTCACTGAGGATGTATATTTATATCTTTCAAACAAGTGGTACTCTGTTTTATCACAGAGGCAAAAATAAAAGCAATATAACTTGTATACAGAGGCAGGAGGCTTTTCGGCCTTCAGTTCCCCCGCTGCCTGTGGCTCACCCTGAAATCCATCCTCATTTTCTGCTTCCCCTCTCCTTCCTGTCAAAGCTTGACTCTGAGAAAAACATGTAGTGATTCTTTTCTCATTTTTTTTTTTTTTTACTGCGTTAAGGGCCCCAGCATTCTTCTTGATCTTCCCCCCATCTTCTCCCAGACTTCCTCAAATGGTTCATCACATCAGTCGAGGTGTTTGGAAAAGCATTAAAGTTTCCTCAGACGTATATAAAATAATTTATATGCGTGTGCATTTTAAAAAAAAATCAGTAATCAACAAAATAGGTAATTAATTTCATTATCTGAATTTAAAAAATGAATTACATAAATTCATTAGACGCCAACACAGAACAGTTTTTTTTTTTTTTTTTTTTTAGGAAATTTTAATACTAAATAAAACCAAAACAAGACAGATTTTTAATAGACAATAGTTTTTGTTATAGCCATCGAATGGCCTACACTGTCACGAGCAATACTGCTGGCTTGACACTACAAAAAGATCATTTCTAAACAAGGGATTTTCACAAAGTGCTATATTTAAACATATTAATGGAAAGTTGAGCTTAAGGAAAAGGTGTACTTCAGAGTGTACTTAAGGAACAGGGATCATTTGAGGAAGGGGTATTTGTAGAGGGCTGGGAAACAAGGGGCATTTCTCAACTGGACTAAGTGAGTGTTGATAAGTGGCTCAAATGCTGGTTTCAAATAAAAATTAGGCCTGCATTTGATTTGGAAAATCAAGCTCCAAGAGTCTGGAAGAAGATTGAAGAGGTACAGAATCCAAGGTGTTTAACGTCACATATGAAGTTTCCACACTCAGTAATGTGGAAACTTCATTTGTCTTTCTTAGGAGTACCGACCAAAGGAAGACGAAGAACATCAGTGCAAACAACCTGTTATCAAATCCATTACGTCTCTGCAGAGCCACAGACTGATGGCCTGCATGTCACGCCAAATCGATGCAGTAATTCATACAAAAAGAGGAACAGTCAGATACTGACAGCAGATAATGTACAGCATACATCTTTTTTCTACTCATTTGCCCACAGTTTTGTATTTAAAATCCTTCTTTTGCTGGTCATACGTGGTATTCAACTTATCAGGAGACAGAATTTTTGTTGTAAGTTTCAATCAAAATTAATCTCTGTGTGTAATATATTAAATGTGTTTCACATGGTGAATTTAAGAACTAAAAGAGTGACCTTACAGAGATATGCATGGTGTTGGCAAAAGATTGTAAAAATGTGCAAAGGTTACAGTAGAGGTTATGGATATTATGGAAACCTGTTATTAACTGCTTATTTATACTGAGTGTTATGCTCTGTCTCCCAGTTGGGGATGGGATTGGGAGTTTTATGGTTCTAAATGG